TTCTCCAGGGGATCTTCCCAACCCAGGGACGGAACCCAGGTCTCCCGCATTGCAGACGGATTCTTCACCAGCAGAGCCACAAGGGAAGCCCCAGCTGTAAGGGTGGACCCCAATTAGTCTAAGCAGACATCAGAACCACCCAGACTGAAGGGAAAGACATAGTCTAGGATTACAGGAGCAGATCACTCTCTCCTTGTCGATTTTATTAATTAAAACTGATTTCAAGGAGGAAATCAACCTTTGGATATCAACTTTGTGAAGCGCAGGGCGGAGAAAGAGAAACAAACTGGACCTATGGTGAAGTCACTGATTTGCTGAATCAAATAATTTTGGAGTTTGTCTATTAGTCTGCATTTCCTATTCTGTATCCTAACAAAGTTCCTTTTAAAGCAAATTGGAGTCAGGTTCCATAAAACTCAATTTATATAGTCAAAAGTGTCCTAACTCATGTGGAAGGAAATAAAATAATTTTGAATTATCTTGTTAACAAAACAGTCAAATACTATATGTTAATATGTGTTAATACCTAAATTTAAACTTAGAATTATTGACATCTCAATCATAAAAATAAGCTTAACTATCCCACTTGCCACAAAGACATCAGTCAACACCACTGCATTTTTCTCAAAGAAATTTTTAAAAGAAAAAGTTATATATACTTACACTTTAACTTTTTTATGTGAACAAATTCAAAAAAAGGAAAGAACAATATGAGCGTTCTATCTAGGGCTTGCATTTGGTTGAAAAACAACTTAATAATCAGATATAGTTTATAAGAATGTTGAGACAACTCATGTATGTAATAGTTTGAAAACTTTCCTGTTTATACTTTGTGTACACCCTTATACATAGACAACTGCTTAAATCTGTAGACACAACAATAATTCATATAAAAGGAAAACAATTTTATTTTATTACAGATATTCACCAAAGGATATGCCATGGTGCATTAATAACATGAGAATCATAACCCAAGGGTTTTTTTCCTTGCTTGATGGCTATATAAAATATTTATCTGGCTTATGAAATATAAATCTCTTTAGTGATTTGTAGTAATATACAAATATTGCCAGGCAAATATTAAAACACTGAAGTTTACTGTTGCCAAGTCGCTGTTGCTAAATGTCAATTAAAGAAGTAAAGCAAGAAAAACATTTGAATTTCTGCAGTCAAGTTCAAGGATGTGCTTGCGTGCTAAATCGCTTCAGTCGTGTCCGACTCTTTGCAACCCTATGGACTGTAGCCCGCCAGGCTCCTCTGTCCATGGAATTCTCCAGGCAAGAACACTGGAGTGGGGTGCCATGCCCTCCTTCAGGGGATCTTCCCAAGCCAGGGATAGAACCTGCATCTCTTACGTCTCCTTCATTGGCAGGTGGGTTCTTTACCACTAGCGACATCTGGGAAGCCCAGTTCAAGAATACAGGAGGGAAAAACAAAAGTGAACGAATTCTGAGTCCACTCTTGAAATCTTACGTCTGATTCTAGCAGAATGAACTAAAAACCTCAGTTTAGAAAACCTAGAGTGACTTTATATGTCCCATACATTAAACAGCAGGTCGGAGGCTCAATCAAATCTAAACATTTATTACAGCAGGAACGGGAAATGTGTACTATTAAAGGGTACATACAAACTGTTGTATCATAAGGGAGAATAAATGAGAAATGGAAATCTAATGCAGTAAGGAAAACTGGTTGGCAAATGGTTAACCAGTTTTCAAACTCCTCAGTGTCAAATCATTGCTGGACTCAAACCTCAGCATCCCATCAGAGTACAGGAACGGTACCCAAACCACACCCCTAGATATCCCTCAATAAATTAAACTCGAAACTGCCAATGATATTGGATATATACTTCTTAAAGCCTTCTTTCAACTAAAACCCAGAACAGTTGCAGTAGCAGCTGTTTTCTCATTACTTCTGTCCAAGACATGGATTCTTAAAACTTTCAGTTAAAAAGACTAAATAAAGAGTAGGAAGGAACCTTAGAAAATCATTTCTAAACACACTCCATCTGAAGCTAGGAAACTCTGATGAATACATTTAGCAAAGAAATACAGAGTTCTTTATATTTAAGGTTTAATGTTGATTGCTGAGGGTAACACAAAGATGTTTAAAACCTGATACCTTCCGTTAAGGAATGTATAGGATGCCCCAAGGAATTATGCAATCTGAAACAGAATAGTATACTATCATATAATAAAGACAAAATCCTAAGAACCAAGAGGAGTCTTCAAGCAAGGCAAAAAGGCTTCAGTGGATGCGTAAGCGATGAGTTAAGCCCGGAGTCTGGACATCTGGCGATGGTCGGGAAGGACAGTGCGGCAGCGAGAACAGAATAAGCCCTGCTGCCCCCCACAGACCTCGCGCCCTCCCTCCGCAGACAGTCTGTCCTGGCCGTGCCAGTCCTCGTCTTCTCCCAACAGGACGGGCTCTTCCGTTCCCTCCTCGGGGCCCTTGCACCTACTGCTCCCTTTGCCTGGAAAGAATTTCCCCCAGTTAACTGCAACACTGCCTTTCTCACCTCCTTCAAGTCTTTGCTCAAGTATCACCATCTCAGCAGAAACTTCTCTGACTATTCTATTTTAAAGTGTCACCTTTGCATTCCCTATCACCCTTCCCTGCTTTATTTTTCCCACAGCACCTATTACTATCCGGCATGGTATATATTCTACTTTTTAGCTTTGTCTATGTCCCAGCTGAAAAAGCGTAAGTTATCTGTTTGTTCACCTCCAAATTTTGAAACACTGCCTGCACATGGTAGGCATTAAATCAGTATTTGTTGACAAACTGACTGATGGGATAAAAACTGAATAAATGAACTGACTGAATGAAAAGGATTTCTGCCCTCAAACAGGTTATGATCCGTCAGAGAAAGCAAATATATAAATAATCTCAAATTATTCCTGAATGACAAAAATAAACAAACAGCTGGCAAAACTCGATTTATGAAAGAGTAATAACATTACCCTGCATCCCCCACTTCCTCACATTCAGTGACCACTAGATTCTTCTTTTACATTTCTTAGCAACCTACTCCCAGCCACACCCATCATTTAGCAATGGACATGAGTTTGAGCAAATTCCACGAGATAGTGAAGGCCAGGAAAACCTGGAGTGCTGCAGTTCACAGGGTCGCAAAGAGTCGGACATTTCCTCACGACTGAACGACAACAAAGCGACACCAGAGCTCTCACTGTTCCACCTTAACCTTACTGCTACCTGCTGAGTAAAGGTAAAAAATAATCTGTTGCCAGTGCTGGACAAGAGAGAGAGGTATTGCTGCATTTCAAATTCGACACATTTTTCTGTACATAGTTAAAGTTTACACTACAGGAGTGGTAACACTGATATTATGCATTAGCCAGAAAACCTTCTACTTTGAATGGTGCTTAATTATTAAGTGGAGATATGGAGAAACACATGTTAAAATTCTATTTCACAACTGGAACATACTGTTTCTACACTGCAAATGGATGGCAGGGCGAAACGGCTCAAAGAAAGATACCTTCAGGAAAGGCTAGCACAGCAATCTATTTAAGGCAAATGGGTAACAATGTAAAATCAAGGGGATTTTTTTCCATTCAGAAAAATCAACTAGAATTTTATCCTGGATAAAGAATGGTGTAGAATTCTTAAAGTATTAGGGTCGAAATTATACTACACTAAAATGAAACAAGAGTAGTAGAAAATATTCTTTTCTACTTATCGCCAGCAAAAGCAAAACTACTTACGGATATGAGAAATGAGCTCAAGATTTCTCACTTCAACTAACACCTCCACACAGACTGCATTATCATTTAAGGCAAAGTGAAATTGTCACACTTAATTTTTAAAGGCAGGAATGACTTCCATTTGGGGTTTATCTGCATAAAAGTGTCAGCCATGGCACAGGTTCAATATTTAATTCAAAGTTCATTTTCTGGCTCTAAGCAAAATGTCCAATACAAAGTTATATACAACAATAAATAATGCAACAATAAACAAGAGTTATATATCCACATTAATCCTATCACTGAGAGCTTAATTTTGTGTTTCCACAGTGGTAAATTTTGCCCTCAGATAGAGACACTGGTCTATAACCCGTCATCAAACAGTGATAAATTACTTGTAAATTACTACCGTAAAACCTGCGTTGTCCCACAATATTTACACTTCTGAAAGAGTTTAACAAATATTACTATTCTTTGTAAGCAGAACAAAAACTATAAATTAGGGCAAACTCCCTTACGTAGAAAAATGACAAACCAGTCGCTGAAATGGTCACTTTCAGGCACAGCATCACCGTTCTACTTGATCAAACAACAATCCTCGCCAGTTATTGCTTGAGTAAATAAAATGCAGCCGCTAGGGGAAAAGCCACAGAGAAACGTTAGGTCCTCCTCACGTATCTTTGTCGTTAAAAAGGAGACACGGGAAAGTCACAATGAGCACTCGATCAGGTATGGCAACCTACGGGAGAGACTACAGAGTGTGCAGGTCTCTCCAAACGCAGGAAGTCAAAGTTCCTCCGCGACAGCGGAGGAAAAAAAAAAAAAACCACTAGCCCATCTGTCCACACAGGAGAAGAGAAAGAAGTCAGGCAGGAAGGCTGGGAGTCGGGGAGGTGGGGCTGCCAGACCAACCGGCTCCGCGCCGTCTCCCTCGGCTGCTAACAGGAGCCGCCGGCTGCAAACCCCGGTGGGTTCGCCCGCGCAGGTGGGCTGCAGCCTCCAGACCCGCTTCGGCCCCGCACCGGGAAGTCTCCAGGGCCTCGCCCGCACAGCCGGGAAGCCACCCAGCCCACAGACAAGCGGAGGAGCCGCCTGAGAAGAGCCACGTCGGAGGAAGGGAGCGCGGCGGGAGGTGGGCACCTGGCACACCCACCCGGGGGCTGACAGCACGGAGCGCGCGGCGGCCGGGGCGCCAAAAGGGCCGCGGCGCGCCTGAGGGGGTCGCCCGGAGGGCGCTGCCGGCCGCCAACGACTCCCCCCTCGCCCCGATCGGCGGCGGCGGGCACTCACGTAGGGCTGGTAGAACTTGGAGAGCCGCGGCTTCCCGTGGTTGTTAAAGATGAGGATCGCCTTGATCATGGCTGAGCCGGGCGGACCGGGTGGGAGCTGGGGGCCAGGGCGGGGGCGGACGCGCGAGCCTCGCCTCGGGATCTCGCCGGCTGTCCTTCCCCACCCGCCCCCTCCCGCACACGCGCGCGCGCGCGCCCCCGAGACTCGGGGCGGGGTTTGCACGGGGCGGGGCTTGGGAGGGGTCGGCACGGGGGGAAGCGGAAACAGCTCCGGGGCCGGGGCGCGGAGTTTAGGGGCGCCTGCGCACTCGGCGGCTGACGGAGACGTCGCCTTCAGGAAGCTTTTCCGGAAGCTTGCCAGAGTGAAATAGTAGTTGTTCTGTCAGCGGTCTGGGGACCACAGCAGATTCGGCGCAGAGGACCAACCTGCGATTCCGAGTCAGGGTTGGGTCGGGTTCTCCCCCGCCCCTACCCCGGCGCCTCTCTAGAGATGCTCTTCGGCGCAAGGCCCGCCCACTGCAAGCGCTGAGCCACCGCTTCCGCTCTCCCTTCCCTCCAAGCAAGATGGCTGAGGAGCAGGAGTCTGCGCTGCAGCTGCCTCCCTCAACTGCTCCCGAAGCTGAAGGGCCTACGGAGGTCTCCCCAGAAACAGCCACTCCGGAGCCCCCTTCTTCGGCTGCAGTCTCTCCGGGAACAGAGGAACCTGTCGGTGACACCAAAAAAAAAAGTAATTTTCAGAGCACTGTCTCTGGGCAGAGGCGGGAGGTTGAGGTTGTGTTCGAAAAGGGATGGCAGCTAATAAGCAAAATTTAGGGTAGGGCCGGTTCAGACGAGGTTCTTGACCAGTCAGGAGAAAGGAAGTATACTTTTCGGCTTTCAAGACGTTTGAGTTGAGTGCCTCGAAAGAAAAGCTATCCCTAGAGGCGCCTTCCCGATGTGGCGCTGGGTTTTAAAACCGTGTACTCTTCACCTTCCTTTGAAATAGCCAGAGTGCGAGCTCTGTGAAGGTGGGAGCATTGTGGGATCTTGGTAGCTCTGAGAACTTAATGCGAGATCTAATTCTTTGAATAGTGACTTTAGCTGATACGGATTGACGTTGTTCAGTCGCTCAGTCGTTTCGGATTCTGTGCGACCCCTGGACAGCGGTACTCCAGGCTTCACCATCTCCCGGAGTTTGCTCAAACTCATGTCCCTTGTGTCGGTGATGCCATCCAGCCATCTAGGTGCTAAGGATGGTCGGTAGCAGATCTAAAGTAGAATCCACAGCTTCCAACTAGGTCACCGGTTTTTTTTTATTCCAAATTGGTGAGAGCTCATCTTGAACCAAAAAACGGGTTTTGAACACTGCTAAGGGAAAACCGAAAACATTAGCATCGCCTTTAAAAAAAAAAAAAGGCAACACCATTTTGGAATCTTTGTAAGGAATTACATTCGTTATAAATAATTTCATTGCTTGAACTGACTGTCCTCAACCCTTTATTGCTTGAGAATTAGTTCGCCCTTGTAAAATACAGTAATTCCTTTGTAAAATGCAGAAATTCCTAAGTGGAGCTCTCTATGTAGAGTTGCCTATGAGAAAAGCAGGAAATATTTTCTGTCCTGAGTGTTAAAGTGTAGGTATGGCATTTTGTGCTTACTGATCTCTTGGCCTTTCGTCCAGCTTCATTTTCTGCTGCTGTGGAGTGTAATTGTCGGTCCCAGCATTGTCCCTCATTCAAGTCAGACTGACTCTACGTTTGAGAGAAGTCTTTTCTGTCATTTCCAGCTGATGCACCAGTAGAGGAACAAAGCCCTGTAATTATTTCTGTAGATAACCACTGAAATTGTCCTTCAGATGAATCCCTTGAGTTTTACAGATCTCCTTCTTTTTTTGGAGTCGTTGTGTTGGTTTCAGCTGTACAGTGAAGTGAATCAGTTATATATATATATCCACTCTTTAAGATTGATTTCCCCGTTGGTGATTACAGAGTATTGAGTAACATGCCTTGTGCTCTATAGGAGGTCCCTATTAGTTACCTGTTTTATATATAGTACTGTTGTTCCCTTTTTTTCCCTTCCAATTTACTGAAAGCCGAAACAGACTTTGAAAGGGTTTGTCTTAATATCTAACAGTCTTAGTCAACAGTTTACTATGTACTTGACCCTGGAGATCGCTGTGAGAACTGTGGCTAAAAGATAACTGCTCACAACCTAGATATGGTCTGTTTTCTTGGGTCTGCTCAATTTATGATTTTTTAACCATTCTTTAAAAACCAAATTTTCATCTTCTGGCTCCTGTGAATATTTGAGTTAGCTTCTCTGATGTCACACTTGCTTTCTACCTATTGAATTTCTACCCTGAAATTGTCATCCTTTTTTGAGGACCTTTTTTGATACAGAAAAACTTATTTCATATATTCCACATTTGGTTTAATCTACAGCTTTTTGAAGCATATCCAGGTTGTTAGTTCTTGCGGCCCTTTAGGATCATCTGAGGGAGCTTTTAAACTACCAGTGCCAAGGCCCTACTTCCAGAAGATTCTGATTTAATTGATGTACGCATCTGTATTCTTGTAAATGTTCTCCCAGTTGAGTCTTAATGTGTAGTTATGGTTGAGAACTACAAGCAAATTACATTTTATAATTTTTTTAAAAATGTATAGCTTTAATTATAAATATTTTTACTCTCTAGATTCTTGCCCTTGCCTTCTTCAGTAATACAGCTCACTATTTGCTACTTCACATTCTTGGAATGCGCGGTTGCACTTGACTGATAGCCCCAGGGAATTTAGGGAACAGGGACAAGGCAGTGTGGAAGATTAGTTAACCAAAATCCCCTTAGTTATCTCTCAATTCATCTTTTTTCCTTGGATAACTGAGACTAGAATTACCAAGTGGAAGAAGGAAAATAAACTTTCAGTTCAGTTCAGTTAGCTCAGTCCTGTCCGACTCTTTGTGACCCCATGAATCTTAGCACACCAGGCCTCCCTGTTCATCACCAACTCCTGGAGTTTACTCGGACTCATGTCCATCGAGTCCTTGATGCCATCCAGCCATCTTATCCTCTGTTGTCTCCTTCTCCTCCTGCCCCCAATCCCTCCCAGCATCAGGATCTTTTCCAATGAGTCAACTCTTTGCATGAGGTGGCCAAAGTACTGGAGCTTCAGCATCAGTCCTTCTAATGACCACCCAGGACTGATCTCCTTTAGGATGGACTGGTTGGATCTCCTTGCAGTCCAAGGGACTCTCAACACTCTTCTCCAACACCACAGTTCAAAATTATCAATTCTTGTGTGCTCAGCTTTCTTCACAGTCCAACTCTCACATCTATACATGACCACTGAAAAAACCACAGCCTTGCCACAGATGGACCTTTGTTGGCAAAGTAGTGTCTCTGCTTTATAATATGCTATCTAGGTTGGTCATAACTTTCCTTCCAAGGAGTAAGCGTCTTTTAATTTCATGGATGCAGTCACCATCTGCAGTGATTTTGGAGCCCCCCAAAATAAAGTCTGACACTGTTTCCACTGTTTCCCCATCTGTTTCCCATGAAGTGATGGGACCAGATGCCATGATCTTAGTTTTCTGAATGTTGAGCTTTAAGCCAACTTTTTCACTCTCCTGTTTCACTTTCATCAAGAGGCTTTTTAGTTCCTCTTCACTTTCTGCCATAAGGGTGGTGTCATCTGCATATCTGAGGTTATTGATATTTCTCCCGGCAGTCTTGATTCCAGCTTATGCTTCCTCCAGCCCAGCATTTCTCATGATGTACTCTGCATATAAGTTAAATTAGCAGGGTGACAACATAGAGCCTTGACGTATTCCTTTTCCTATTTGGAACCAGTCTGCTGTTCCATGTCCAGTGCTAACTGTTGCTTCCTGACTTGTATACAGATTTCTCAAGAGGCAGGTCAGGTGGTCTGGTATTCCCATCTCTTTGAGAATTTTCCACAATTTATTTTGACCGACACAGCCAAAGGCTTTGGCATAGTCAATAAAGCAGAAGTAGATGTTTTCCTGGAACTCTCTTGCTTTTTTGATGATCCAGCAGATGTTGGCAATTTGATCTCTGGTTCCTCTGCCTTTTCTAAAACCAGCTTGAACATCTGGAAATTCTTGGGTCATGTATTGCTGAAGCCTGGCTTGGAGAATTTTGAACATTACTAGCGTGTGAGATGAGTGCAATTGTGTGGTAGTTTGAGCATTCTTTGGCATTGCCTTTCTTTGGGATTGGAATGAAAACTGACCTTTTCCAGTCCTCTAGCCACTGCTGAGTTTTCTAAATTTGTTGGCATACTGAGTGCAGCACTTTCACAGCATCATCTTTCAGGATTTGAAATAGCTCAACTGGAATGCCATCACCTCCACGAGCTTTGTTCGTAGTGATGCTTTCTAAGGCCCACTTGACTTCACATTGCAGGATGTCTGGCTCTAGGTGAATGATCACACCATCGTGATCATCTGGATCATGAAGATCTTTTTTGTACAGTTCTTCTGTGTATTCTTGCCACCTCTTCTTTGTATCTTCTGCTTCTGTTAGGTCCCTGCCATTTCTGTCCTTTATTGAGCCCATCTTTGCATGAAATATTCCCTTGGTATCTCTAATTTTCTTGAAGAGCTCTCTAGTCTTTGCCTGTTGTTTTCCTCTATTTCTTTGCATTGATCACTGAGGAAGGCTTTCTTATCTCTCCTGGCTATTCTTTGGAACTCTGCATTCAAATGGGAATATCTTTCCTTTTCTCCTTTGCTTTTCGCTTCTCTTCTTTTCACAGCTATTTGTAAGGCCTCCTCAGACAACCATTTTGCCTTTTTGCATTTCTTTTCCATGGGGATGGCCTTGATCCCTGTCTCCTGTACAATGTCACGAACCTCCGTCCATAGTTCATCAGGCACTCTATCAGATCTAGTCCCTTAAATCTATTTCTCACTTCCACTGTATAGTCATAAGGGATTTGATTTAGGCCATACCTGAATGGTCTAGTGGTTTTCCCTACTTTCTTCAATTTAAGTCTGAATTTGGCAATAAGGAGTTCATGATCTGAGCCACAGTCAGCTCCCGGTCTTGTTTTTGCTGACTGTATAGAGCTTCTCCATCTTTGGCTGCAAAGAATATAATCAGTCTGATTTCAGTGTTGACCATCTGGTGATGTCCATGTGTAGAGTCCTCTTGTGTTGTTGGAACAGGGTGTTTGCTATGACCAGTGCGTTCTCTTGGCAGAACTCTGTTAGCCTTTGCCCTGCTTCATTCCATACTCCAAGGCCAAATTTGCCTGTTACTCCAGGTGTTTCTTGACTTCCTACTTTTGCATTACAGTCCCCTATGACAAAAAGGACATCTTTTTTGGATGTTAGTTCTAGAAGGTCTTGTAGGTCTTCATAGAACCATTCAACGTCAGCTTCTTCAGCGTTACTGGTTGGAGCATAGACTTGGATTACCGTGATATTGAATGGGGATACCCCTCGTCCAAGGTAAGGAGCAGCATCTGCGCTTTGCTGGAGCAGCCGTAAAAAGATACCCCACGTCCAAGGTAAGAGAAACCCAAGTAAGACGGTAGGTCTTGCGAGAGGGCATCAGAGGGCAGACACACTAAAACCATAATCACAGAAAACTAGCCAATCTGATCACAGGACCACAGTCTTGTCCAACTCAGTGAAACTAAGTCATGCCGTGTGGGGCCACCCAAGACGGACGGGGTCATGGTGGAGAGGTCTGACAGAATTGGTCCACTGGAGAAGGGAATGGCAAAC